GGGTTTAGGGTAAGCCTGAACCTGTACGAGCCTGAGCCACCCAGATCCGCATGGCAGCATCAGAAGCAAAACCTACTCGTGGATCCTGGCTTCGGGTTCAGATTTTATAGGCTTTGTGCGAGGTATGGGGTGCACTCCCAAATCCTTCGACCTCACCCCAGACTGACGGGATTCGCATAAAAGTTGAAGCCCAGTACCTTCAACCAGAAAGTCCAGGTCCAGGTGCGGCAAGCTGCCAGAGCTTTCAAGATTGTAGGCAAAACCCACATCGTTTAACTGTTCGTCTTACTGCGCTTCGCAAGGCAAACCCTAAAGCCCGAAGCCTCGCCGAAGCCCAAGCGGTTCTGCTTCGTCTCCAATCAATACGTTCTGGGTTTGTAAGGCAGAAGCCTATATACATGATTGCCAGTACTATCCCTCCGGGCGCTCAATTTGTTCATACGACAATATGCCAAACAACCCTCTTCCAAATATTGAGGCCCCCATATCCCTAAACCTTTGTCGAACCCGTTTCTAGAGCCCAACAAGGAAGCCAATTCGAGCCATTAAGGCCCCTATAGTCTATAATGGATGAGCCGGAGGTTGTCCAAAGCAGAAGGCTGAAGACCTGAAACTTCATCGTTCAGGCCCAAGCCCCGATCTTACCAAAGCCCCAAACTCAAATCTTCAGCTTCTCAAATCCCTGTACCTTCAGCTTCAACCCCCGAGCCCTTAGCCTTACGCCCTTCACCCCAAGCCCCAAGCCCGAATGTACCTGGACCTCAAAGTCCTCAAACCCCACACCCCTAAACCCTAAACCCTAAACCCTAAACCTAAACCCTAAACCCTAAACCCTAAACCCTAAACCCTCCCGAAAGCCCAGGATGCAGATGGGCATGTCTGCGGGCTTGCTCTGCGGGCCGGCTCTTGGAGGCTCCTTCGCTTGCAGCAGTCGGGCTTTGGGTTGAACATAAGGGGACTTCAAACGGAACTTCAAACGAGCAATACCATAGAAGGTTTTATATGCAGGGATATATATATATATATATATATGCATGTAAAAACAAATATATATATATATATATATAACGGGTCTATCAGGGTTGCCAGGAGGGGTTTAGAGGGTTTCAGGGGCAGCAGTTCGGTAAATACGAACCTCTTTTGCTGCCTATGTAATCAGTCGGTAATATACCCTAAATCCGGATTGGAAGTTCTCACAGTGTTCATTTGCATATCAAACTTGGGGTTTAGAGGCCAAGGAGTGTCGGTGCGCTGGTTTCAGGGTTCAAGTTTGAACTCATGCGGCGTATGCATGCGGGCATAGGAGCTCAGGATGTAGTGTTGAAGACTTCAGGTTTAGAGTTACGGTTTAGGGGCATGAGGTTTGGGAGTTCACTACGATCTTTGGGCTTCGAGGTTACTACCCTCAGCTGGCTTCAAGCATGCATTGTGATATGACTTGGACGGTTGAGTTTCAGGGCTTACCTTTGCAGTTCAATAAACTGCCACAATGAAGTTTGGAGTCGGAGACTTCGGTTTCAATACAGGCCACCTTATTTACAGACTGCCACGACGTGAGATCTTGCTGCACAACTACGACAAACGGCACCCCTCGCCTCACCTACACCCGACTGGAAGTTTTAGAGTTAAGTCTTAAGTAAGGGTCCTTACAATCAGGATAAGAGTCCTACCACTTCTTGAAGCCTCACGCCCGAAAGCCCAAACCCTAGACCCCTAAACCCGTAAACTCCAAAACCGCTAACCCTCTACATACCTAGACCCTAAACCCCCGCACCCCAAAGGTTACCTCCTGGAGCACGTGGGCCTCTACTCGATGACCCTCGGGGTCGGCGCTGCCTCGTTGGCCACCGCCACCGCGGTGTTCGCCCTACTTCCGGTTCCTTGGCCGGTGGTTTACGAGGTGCCGATTTGGGATGGTTTGTCGTTTCCCTTCCTGCTTTAATGGAGAACCCGATAATTATCAACTCTGTACGCGATTCCAAAGGTAAGAACCCTAAGCCCCAAGACCGAAAACTCCGAACCCTAAACCCTTCAACCCGAAACCGAAACCCCAAACCCTCAACAGCTGCAAGTTCTATCTCTTCAGCCCCAAATCCGAAACACAACACCGGTCATCTGAAATTGCTTCCCAGGAGACTCACCGGGGTTACCGAGACAAGAGGCCTCTCAGAGGTGCTGGTACTCTCCAGAAATAGGGTTGGGTTTCTGGGTTTTCGGTTTCGGGTTGTGTTTTCTTTGCATGCTCGGGTTAAGGGTAAGCATGTTTGGGTTTGGGGTTTAGCTGTGGAGGCCAAGGAGTGGACTGTCGGGGTTAGGTTTACGTGGCTGTGGGGTTCAGGGCGCTGGGCATCGCGAAGCATTGGACCCGCTCCTAGCAGGTCCAGGTGCTTAGCCCGGTGGGCACTATCGGCCACTGCACTGCTGCGCTGAAGGGTCTTATAGGGAGTACAAGGGATCCAGAGCTGGATTTGTCACCTCCAGGCTCACCCAGGAAGTGTTGCTCAAGACAATCTTCGGGATGCCAGAACCAGGGATTGAGCAGTCGATGATGGACCTGCCACCCCCGAGCACCCGCCTCCGGCAGCCTTGATCGCAGCTCGCCAACTCGAACATCTACCTATAGAAGACCAAAGCCCAACAGTCTAAACCACAGAAAGCATCCAATATCACTCAGAACGGCCCTTTCGACCCTAGAACGCCCAGAGGCGTCGGAGACACCCTGCGGTCCTGGTCTCCGATACTACGTGGCCAGCAGTTCCGGTCAATCTTGTCCTTTGGTTGGTGCTACAACGCCGCCTTTTGGGGCGTGACTGGGCTGAACTTTAGATTTCACGATTCAGGATTCCAAACTTCGGGCTTTCAGGGCTTTCAGGTTTTGGAGTGACTTGTTTTACCAGCTGGGTGCCTTTAACCTTTGACCCTAGGCTTCTGGGCCGGGAACTCAGCAATACAGGATTTAGGGGTGTGGACGCAGTGTCCATGATTTCGAACCCCGGGCCCTCAACCCCTAAAGCAGAATCGGTGAGAAGGTCGGAGCCTAAAAGGCTTCTTTTCCGGGGGTATGGGTGTGAGAACTTTGGATGCAGGACTCAGGGATGTATGGCATTTCGGATTGGGAAAGGGCTACAAGAATGAGCATTTTATGAGATCGAAGTCTTCGACTGGCAGCTTTGCAGTTGCAAAGCTTCATTAAACGTGCTCACGACATGCGATCTGACCACCGCTTTAAACCCTAAACCTCAAAACTTTCAACCCAATAAACGAACTCCTTCGAGGCCATGGCCCTCCTCCCTCTGGTCTACGTGGATCTTTCCTTGAGCCCCTCTGTGGTGGGCGGCCTCTCCACCTTCAACGCCATTGCTTCCCGGCCTGGTCATGTAGATGTAGAGGCCGAAAATACGGAAATAGTGATACATCTGTTATATAAGTATATATATATATAGAGAGAGAGTCACATACAATATACCAGAATATTTTCTTGTATGCGTATATACACTTATATACATATACATGTGTATATATATACACATGTACACATGCATAGACATATACACCTACACATACACATACAGATACTTCTACACATATACATATACAAAAGCCGAAAGTACGGGTATATTAATACTTATATAATATATTTAGTCAAATACAGTATACTGGAGTACATACATGTACACATACACCTAGACCTAGACGTACACCTACACCTACACATACACATACAGATACATAGAACATACATATACTTATGCAAACACATATGCATATATATGTATATGTATATATCACAGAATGTGTGTCCATACACATGTGGTAGATAGATAGATAGATAGATAGATAGATAGTTAGTTAGATAGGTAGATAGATAGGTAGATAGATGGATAGATAGATAGACGGACAGGTAGATGGCTAGATATCATGCACACATCATGTGTATGCTCTAGATGTGTCAGAATGTTCTAGGTAGTTTAAAGATTACAGACATTATAGATACCCCTCCACCCCTTCCGGCAGCCTGCCCCAACAAGCATCCAGGAAACGTTGGAGCCAGGCGTTTCCCAGCGATTTTCTCGAGACCCCAAATCTTCAGGAAGTTTTGGGACGGCCGGTCATGATTTGGACATTATCGCTGAAAACTTTTGGAAAATTTCATGAACCCGAAATATCCCTTATTCTGGGGCGGGAGCTCTCGGTCTTTTGTCCCGAAATTTCCGGAACATTCTGGGGCTCGAGACGCTATGCATGCCGTCGGGCGCTGGATGGGTTCAGCTGTCTCGAGCTATAGGAGTATGTCTGCAATAAAATTGCAGGAATGTTTGCTCGGAAGGAGTTTACCTCTTCGAAAGAAGTTTACACATGTTTTGCACGGAAGCAAGCCGTGTGGGTTCAGGCAGCGTTGAAGATAGAGAACTCCAGAAGCAATGGATGAAAACGGCCCCCGACAATGGGGCCCGGAGGCGTCCAAAAGAAGTCCCGAAAGCAGATCGCATAACAATACGCCAACACAAGCAAAGAAAGGACGCAGTGAAGAACGTGAAGCCAAAGAAGAAGAAGTAGCACCAAAAAGCCTTGACGAAGACATGAAGGACCAACAAAGACGCGAGATCAAGGACCTCATTGAGGACATGCATGACCTACGAGATCAGATGAAGGCATCCCAAAATCAACTCGCATTTCTACTATACCATGAAGTAGACCGACAGAGAGGGGAAACGGCCAGGAAGATCATGGTGAGGAACTGGTGGCAGTATGTAGAGGTCAATGACGCGAACGCACAAATCCTCTTCCACCATCGTGAGGCCATGATTTCATGGGTTGCGAAGCAAGCTGGAGTCCATGACAAAGACATCGAAAAGTTTAGCTATGATCATCGCAAAGGAAGGAACATATCACCATTCAGCATGATAGATGCGGGCAGCTTTGCAATAGGCAGAAGATCATGGAATGGTTCATGCAAAATGGTGACAAGAAGGGG